ATTTCTTGTGGTATAACGTGTAAACCTTACTCGACTTTTATAGCACTAAGTATTATTTGTGAAAGATTATTGTTTATCATATTTTAGAGTTCCACGGAAAATAACTTACTTAGTTATGAGGTTTCGTGTGGTGGATGTAGGTTATGCATCTAAGCTACTGTGCCGAGTAGCAACCTTGTATATAACCTACTGTGCCGAGTAGCATCTATGTATATAATTAGGTGGCAACACTGCATGTGTTATGTGGCAACATTGCCCCGAGGCTGCCATATGGCAAGGCAGTCTCAGTCTGACTTCGTGGGCCGTGCATGGCACACGCTAGTCACCACTTGTATTTCTCCTATCCTTTAATAAATGGACTTCAGTGTTACCCGGTGTTTCCCTACCCATCACTGCATTCTTCAGGGAACACTTGGAACCTTCAGTGGATATACCACGTAGTTCATGGTAGTTGTTAAACTACTTTTATGTTCATTATTTTGTCACTCGGTTGAGTCATTTATTTGATCAGATTTAATTTGTATTTGTTTATTTTTGTACATACTGATATAGTTGTTTTATTGTTTGTTTGTTAATGTATTCGGTAATTAAATCTACTGCATGTATTTCAATATACCCATAGTAATGATGTGATGATTTTGGTGTGAAAAATTCCTTGGACCTATAATACAAAGAGAAGTTGAATTTGTGATTTTATTACACCCTAAGAGCCTAGGGTCGTAACAAAATTGGCGACCTTGCCAGGATAGATCCCTTTATCACTCATTAACTATTGGGAATATTTAGATATAGATATTCTTTATTGATTAATAGTGTTTACTTTTGATGTTGAGGAGTTTTTTTGAGAATCCATCCGTGAAAATGTTGAAAGACTGTGTTCTACGAAAGGATGATTGGATAAGACTTGCTGATACATATGAAATTGAGTATCAACATAGTCAAAGGAAGTCTGAGATTCAAAATGCAGTACTAACTACCGAAGGTGGCACTGACTTTGCGTTCATTTGACCCCTGGGAAGCTGTAGAGATTAGAAAGTTAGAAATGGAACATGAGTTGTCTCTGAAGGATAGAGAAGAATGGGAAAGAGAGTGTAAAGACAGCATGAATTAGCATTAGCACAGGTTAGCAGTAGAAGACGAGACTTACAGGCATTGTCTTTAGAATCTGAGACAAAATTGTTTGATGTGACAAAACATTTGAGACTTATGCCTGCTTTTGACGAGGTGGATCCAGAAGAGTTTTTCATGCAGTTTGAGAAAATTGCAAAGTCTTTTCAGTGGCCTCAAGAGTCGTGGATTGTTATGATTCAAAGTGTGCTCACTGGGTCAGCTCGTTCAGCATTTCTGTCTTTGTCAAGTGAAGTTATAAGTTATAAGTTAGTGAAATAAGAAATTCTTAAGGCGTATGAACTCATTCCTGAAACATATAGAGTAAAATGTAGGACTATGAGAAAGACTGATGTACAGTCGCATATAGAATTTGCTTATTCATTGAGTAAAATGTGTGGAAGGTGGATAAAGTCTAGCAAGGTAGAAACTTTTGAGGAACTTGTTCAGTGGTGATTTTAGAGCAGCTCAAAAGAGCCACTCCAAGAGATATACAATTGTACTTAGGAGAGACAGATATTAGTAATGTTCATAAAGCTGCTGCATTAGCTGATAGCATCCTGTTAAATCTCAAAATCATTCAAGTGGAAAGGGTTTTGTAATCAAGGAAAAGGATGGTAGGCAGAATAGTAGTACTGCTTCTTCTAGTAAAGTAAATTTTCGTGGAAACTCAGGTGCCTTTTCCAAGACCTATGCGAAGACTAAAGCAATTGTCTGTTTTTACTGTAAGAAACCAGGTCATGTGATTACGAATTGCCCTAAATTGGAAGCAAAGAAGGAAGAGCCAGTGCTCCAATTCGGACCTCTGGAGAAGTTTGACAAAATTTTAGTGAGAACTCGCCCAAAGGAGGATTCTTTTGAACCTTTCATATTTGATGGGTCAGTTGCAGTTGAAGAATCAGGTGATCAGAACCCTGCAAAGATTTTGCGTGACACAGGTGCTTCTCACAGTATTCTGTTGAAAGGATCTGTTCCCTGAGTGGAAGATTCCTATACTGGAGGGCATTTGGTGCTCAAGGGTGTCGATAGGGTGATCATTGTTCCTTTGTGTAGGGTGTTTTTGAGAACTCCACTTGTGACTGGAAGGGTGACTATTGGTGTTCAAGATTCTCTTCCTGTGACAGGGGTTACCTTTTTGCTGGGTAATGATATTGCAGGAGCCAGCGTGGTGCCAGATCCTGTGGTATCTTTGACTCCTACAGTGGAGAATAATACTGGTTTAATTGAAGAAGAATACCCAGATTTATTTCCTTTATGTGCGGTTACAAGGAGCCAGACTCTTCGGAATAAGGTACAGACTCTTCCTTCAGTTGACTCTGAGCTCTGTATTGCTGATAGTAATACACCTGGCAATGATGAAAATGATTTAGGTATTGAGAATCTGCTTGACAGTCAGGATGATTCATTTGATAGTGACATTGGTGGGAGAGATGTGAGTGAAGCTAAAGATTCAATTAACATTCATTCCCCAAAACCTGAAGCTGTTCTCTCTTCTGGTGACAACATTACCATTCAGAAAATACCTGTCACTAGGGAAAAACTGAGAGATGATCAGCAGAGTGACTCCGAATTAGCTGAACTATGGAGGAAGGCTGTGGATATGGAAGAAGCGGCTCGCTTGCCTGTTTATTACTACATGGATTCAGGGTTACTTATGATGAAGTTCAGAGCTGTATCTGATCCTGCTGATAAGTGGAATGTTGTGCATCCATCAGGTTGTGATTCCCAGTTGTCACAGGGGAGAAATCTTGAAATTAGCACACGACTTTTTGGGAGGACATTTAGGAGTTAGGCAAACATACAAATTTTTTTTTTCGCATTTTTACTGGCCTGGAATAGAAGGTGATGTTGCCATATACTGTAGAACTTGCCATGAATGTCTGATGGCTGGTAAACTGAATCAGGTCATAAAACCTGCTCCCGTAAAACCCATTCCTGTGGTAGATGAGCCATTTAGCAGGGTTATAATTGATTGTGTAGGTCCTCTCCCAAAAACTCGTTGTGGCCACCAATATTTGTTAACAATCATGTGTAGTACCACCAGGTACCCTTACAAAACATCAAAGCAAAGAGTGTGGTAAAGGCTCTGACTAACTTCTTCACAAAATTTGGCATTCCTAGAGTTGTACAGTCGGATCAGGGTACTACTTTCACCTCTTTCCTTTTCCAGCAGGTGATGAATGAATTGGGTATTAAGCAATACTTAGCTTCTGCGTACCACCCTCAAACCCAAGGTGCCCTAGAGAGGTTCCACCCGACTTTTAAACCTATGCTTAGGAAATACTGTATGGAGTCTTTTAAGGATTGGGATGGAGGAGTACCACTTATGTTGTTTGCCATAAGAGAGAGTCCCCAAGATTCCCTAGGATTCAGTCCCTTTGAAATGATTTTTGGTCATGCTGTAAGAGGTCCTATGACTGTGTTGAAGGAAAGTTGGATAAGTAATCAGATAAAAGTCCCTTTGTCAGTGTATGTACAGAAGTTTAACGAGAAACTGGAGAGAGTAGGTGAGATTGCTCGTGAAAATCTGTCAGAAGTACAGGAGAAAATGAAGAAGCGATATGATGAGCATTGTCAAGCTAGAGAATTTAAGCCTGGAGATAGGGTTTTAGCACTCATACCCCTGGATAGAAATCCCCTTTCAGCTAAATATGAGGGTCCATTCACTAAAGTTAAGAAATTAAATGACTTCAACTATGTCATTGCGACTCCAGACAAGAGAAAATTGGAGAGTTTGACTCATATCAACAGGTTGAAACCGTATTTTGGTTGGAGTGAAGTGGTTTGTTCGGTAACAGGAGGAGAGGAGGTGGTCCAAGACACTGATTTCCTAGTGGATATCCCCATAAGAATTTATAATTCCAATATATTGTGTGACCCTACCTCTAAAGTATTCCATCTTTCACAACAACAGTCTCAGGATGTGGTGCAACTGCTGCAGGAGTTCAAGCCACTCTTCGACGATGTGCCACGCCAGTGTCCTCTGCTGGAGCACGACCTAGTACTGCTGCCTGGCACATCTCCCATCAAGCAAGCATCCTACCGAATGAGCCCTGATAAACGGGAAAAGCTGAAGCAGAAGGTGGAGTATGTGCTGGAACATGACCTAGTGGAGAGGAGCAGTAGTGCATGGGAGTCACCCTGTATGCTGGTGCCTAAACCCGGCGGAAGTGTCCGCATGTGTACTGACTACAGGAAGGTCAACCTGGTGACACGTACTGATGCATATCCATTGCTGCGCATCGACGATATCATCGATAGTGTGGGTGAAGCATCATTTTTCACCAAGCTGGATCTTCTCAAAGGCTACTACCAAATCAAACTCTCGGAAGAGGCAAAGCAGATTTCAGCTTTTGTCTCTGCGGAGGGGCTGTGGCAATACAAAGTCATGCCCTTCGGCCTCAGAGGAGCACCAGCAACATTTCAGCGAGCGATGCATGTAGTGACATCAGGCCTGCCTGGAGTGTACGCCTATCTAAATGATCTGGACGTCGTCGGTGACACATGGGTACAACACATTGGCAGACTCCGTGAACTCTTCAATTGTCGAGCAGAGTTCAACTTCACTGTAAACCTACCTAAGAGTGAATTCGGACATGCTACCTTAATCTTCCTTGGTCATGTCATTGGATCAGGGAAAATTGCTCCAATTGCTGCCAAAGGTGCCGATATTCTCAGACTACCCACACCTCACAATCGAAAGGCTGTCAGAAGATTTCTCGGGAGGGCTGGATTCTATAGGTGATTTTGGAAAAACTTTGCCAGGGTAGTCACTCCCTTAACAGATTTGGTCAGCCCAAAAAGAAAGTTTGTGTGGACTGATGAATGCCAGACAGCATTCGAAAAGTTTCGTGGGTTGTTGGCAATGGCTTCTGTATTGCAACTCCCAGACTTTAAGAAACAGTTTGTGATACAATTGGATGCATGTGACACAGGAGTTGGTGCTGTGTTAATGCAAAAAGGAAAAGATGGAATATTGCACCCGAACTGTTATTTCTCGGTCAAACTGAAAAAGCATCAACGTGGATATGCCACAATAGAAAAAGTAGCATTGGCCCTTTTGTTAGGTCTGGAAAAGTTTGAGGTGTATGTAAGTGGATCACCTTACCCAGTGATAGTTTATACAGATCATAATCCACTTCAATTTGTTCATAAGATGAAAAATAAGAATCAAAGATTGTTACGGTGGTCATTAGCTCTTCAACCCTGTAATATAGAAATCAAACATATAAAGGGCTGTGGTAATATTATTGCCGATACTCTATCTCGTGTTGAGTAAAAGTTCATTCAGAGCTTCTTAAACTTTTAAATTAAGGGGGGAGGCGTTACGAGTGAGAATTCGATGGTTGGTTGTGGATTCGCAACGTGAATGTCTTTTGTTTGTGACATCATTTCTGCTCGCTTTATTTACATCCCAAGCCACGTGACGTTAGTATTGGGCCGGTGGTGATAAGTTAAGTATCTCCTTTCTTATTGTACAGTATATTTCTAGTGGTATAACATGTAAAAATTGTTCGACTTTTATAACACCAAGTTTTATTTGTGAAAGATTATTATTTATCATATTTTAGAGTTCCTCAGAAAATAACTTACTTATTTATGAGGTTTCGTGTGGTGGATATACCACGTTGTTCATGGTAGTTGTTAAACTACTTTTTGTTTATTATTTTGTCACTCGGTTGAGTCATTTATTTGATCAGATTTAATTTGTATTTGTTTATTTTTGTGCATACTGATATAGTTGTTTTATTGTTTGTTTGTTTATGTATTCTACAATTAAATCTACTGCATGTATTTCAATATACCCATAGTAATGAGGTGATGATTTTGGTGTGATCTATTCCTTGGACCTATAATACAAAGAGAAGTTAAATTTGTGATTTTGTTACAACCTAAGAGGCCGAGGGTCGTAACAGTCTTACTCTGGTAAGACTGTTAAATTCACTCTGGTGAAGAAGTGAATTTAAGAGGATTAGGGTCAGGGATGACTGTCCCATTACATAATGTAAATCTTGAGGGTGGATTTGTGAGTGGCATTGTAAAAGTTGGGGTAAGTGTTGAACTTCCCGTACCTGGAGTACAGATGTTATTGAGTAATGATTTGGCTGGCGACAAGGTGGTCCCAGAGCCTATTATGTGTGAAAATCAATTTGATGAAGAGGCTACTGTAGAGGTGAACCATGTTGTGAAAAATGAAGACGTGTTAGCCGATTCAAAGAAGCGTAAACCTGATGGTGATAAACAGTACAATGAAATTGTGTACCCAGCTTGTGTAGTGACCAGGGCAATGTCAAAGAGAAGAGAAGAGTTTGATGGTGATTTGGGAATAGGTGATATATTTAGTAAAGAGGATCTTATGACCACAGGTAATACAGTAGAATTGGAAAATAATAAGTTGTGTACTGTAGAAGCAAAAAATATATGTACTACCAGATTTTGTTGTGGACAAGGAAGAATTAGTAAGGCTACAGAACAGTGACGAGAGTTTGAGGGAATGTTGGAGTGAAGCTAAGAGAAATGGGGGTGAGCGTGATGTATCCATTGGATTTTGTGTACAAAGTGGTGTGTTAATGAGAAAGTGGAGGCCTGCTGATGTTCCAGCATCGGATTATTGGGAGGTTAGGAAGCAGATTGTTATTCCAAGAGAATATAGGGAATAAGTTATTGCTTTATCCCACGATTCTTGTTTGTCTGGACATTTGGGAGTCAGGAAGCCAACTGACAGGCTACTAACTCATTTTTATGGGCCAAACATAAAGAAAATGTATCTGAGTACTGTAAAACTTGTGAGATATGTCAGAAAGTGGACAAGCCCAACCACATTATACAACCGGCACCACTGAAGCCAATTCCAGCATTTTGTAAACCTTTTAGCAGAATTGTAATTGATTGTGTAGGTCCTTTGCCTAAAACACGGAAGGGAAATAATTATCAGTTTACAATAATGTGTGTGTCTACCAGATTTCCAGAAGCTGTACCATTACGTAGCATACATTCTAAAAATACAAGAGAGTTAGTGAGATATTTCTCCTGGTCCCATATCGATGGTTTCTTTAGGAAGCCATTACATAAAAATTTTATTTACGCTGGAAAACGATGCTAGTCTACGGACTTGGCGCACCCTCATTCGGTGTACGCTGTCAGCCCACGATTGCAGTTATCGTACGGCTCCCTCCTCCTCCCCCCACTTTTTTTCTTAGCCTACTTTTTTTAATGTTGTTTGGATTAGTAAAGGAAGGAAGATGAGTAAATAGAAGAATAAAGTAGAGCAAACAGAAAATAGTTAGTGATAACAGGTGGGGGGAAGCTGAGTTTCATCATGCGTCTGGATGAGCAGTTTCAACGTTACCAGACTACCTTACAGCTCCAGTGTACAGTAGTACCCCGCTTAACACGGTCAATAAAACCCACAGGGTACCGTGTTAAGTGAAAACCGTGCTAAGTGAACAACAGAACATATGGGATTAATTCCAATAGAAACTGGCCCATCCCCAAACTCCACTTTTTCCGACACAATACCTATGTTCTAGTAAAAATAACATCTTAATTTTATGATGGTACATGCACACAATTAATACTTAAGAGAAATAGAGAAATACAGTCGCCAAGTTAATGTCCATTCAAATAATGGACTCAACTCCCTCCCCCTCTTCTCACACAACACTGCTGGCTCTTCCCTCTCTGAGAAATTTTTGGGGGAAAACCACTAAATTTTAATAAATAATACCTCAAACTAAAGTTAGGATAATACAATTGACATTGCTGGATTCCTTGTAAGACCAGGAATATTTTGAATATAAATGTCATATATTTTGCACAAAAGATAACATATTTACTCAGAGTAAACATTTTATCTAAAATTTGTATGTCTAATGCAAAATCTATGATGTTTATATTCAAAATGATCACCAAATTGTAAGAATTCCAGCAATGTAAATTATATTCTGGCCTGGTAATTTGTATGAATTTTATGAGCTAAAACAAATATCTTCAGTTAATAAAAAAAACAAATATTCTTCACGACACTATCTGTCAATCAAAGTACCCCACTTTGCCTCCCCCCTTCATCAAACCGCGCGGTCAGTCCCAACCCTCCCCCCCACCCCCCACCAATCCTCCCTTCAAGAGATGTTGGGTGAAAAAACTAAATTTTAACATTTAGTATTAAATAATACCTCAGATTAAAGTTAGGATAATATAATTGACAGGAATATTTTGAATATAAATGTCATATATTTTGCACAAAAGATAACATATTTATTCAGAGTAAACATTACATCTAAAATTTGTATGTCTAATGCAAAATCTATGATGTTTATATTTAAAATGATCATCAAATTATAAGAATTTCAGCAATGTAAATTATATTCTGACCGGGTAATTTGTATGAATTTTATGAGCTAAAACAAATATCCTCAGTTAATAAAAAAAAAAAAGTATACCTATTCCTGTGGGTGACTGTACATGGAAAAAGAGAAGAGATAAAAAGATAATAACAGGAATGCATGGAGAAGATGACTACAATAGACACAGGGTGAATATAGACAGTGAAACAGATAGGAGGTTGACAAAAATAGACAGATTCATACATGCACAAATAGACAGCTGACTGACTGGTTCACATTAGACAAACAGGCAGAAACACGCCAACAACGGATAGGACAAACAGATTTGACGAGACAAAGAGTAAAGACGGGCTTACATTCAAACACCACGCAGACGAACAGACAGTTGGGATGGCAATATACAGGACGGGTAGACTTGAGACAGATTAGAAGGCATTTATAAACAAGAATAACACCAAATTGACCATAGCTGCATCAGTGAGGGTAGTGTAAATAATAAGACTCATTGAAAACTAACACCCTCGCGCGGAAAGAACATCGATGGTCGGTCAGTTATGTGAGATGGGCCAAAAACTGACTAACGTAGATGATGACTATGATGACTTAACACAGGTGATGACTTAAGCAGATGGTGAAAAATCTAACCAGAATCAAGGTCACTTCTCTTCATAATATAATTTATCTCGGAATGATCATCCGCGAATACTTCTTTAACTAATTATTCTAACCTTTATTCTATTCCTTCTTATAGTATATCAGATGCTGTAAGTATCTAGACCACGACCATGATTACAACAACCACGACCATGATTATAACAACCAGGACCATGACAATAACAACCACAACCATGATTATAACAACCACGACCATGATTATAACAACCACGACCATGATTATAACAACCACGACCATGATTATAAAGACCACGACCATGTTCATAACAACCACGACTATGATTATAACAACCAAGACCATAATTATAACAACGACGACTATGATTATAACAAGCATGACCATGAATATAACAACCACGACCATGATTATAACAACCACGTCCATGATTATAACAACCAGGACCATGACAATAAGAACGACGACCATGATTATAACAACCACGACCATGATTATAACAACCACGACCATGATTATAACAACCACGACCATGATTATAAAGACCACGAACATGTTCATAACAACCACGACTATGATTATAACAACCAAGACCATAATTATAACAACGACGACCATGATTATAACATCCACGACTATGATTATAACAAGCACAACCATGAATATAACAAGCACGACCATGAATATAGCAACGATGACTATGATTATGACAACCATGACTATGATTATAACAACCACGACCATGATTATAACAACCACGACTATGAGTATAACAACCACGACCATGATTATAACAACAACGACCATGATTATAACAACCACGAACATAATTATAACAACCATGACTATGATTATAACAACCACGACCATGATTATAACAACCATGATTATGATTATAACAACCACGACCATGATTATAACAACCACGACTATGATTATAATAACCACGACGATAACATAACCACGACTATAATTATAACAACCACGACCATTATTATAACAACCACGACCATGATTATAACAACCACGACTATGATTATAATAACAACGAATATGATTATAACAACCGACCATGATTATAACAACCACGACGATAATCATAACCACGACTATGATTATAACAACCACGACTATGATTATAGCAACCACGACCATGATTATAAAAACCGACTATGAATATAACAACCACGACCATGATTATAACAACAACCACGACCATGATTATAACA